GCTTGGCCAGGGACAAGGCGTCTTCCACATACGCATAGAGAGAGAGGTCGAGCGCCAGGAGCTTTCGGACGCTTTCTATCCGGGCAATGGCACTTGCGACATTGGACGTAGTTGCCGAAAGCCCGAGGTCGAGCGCGCCGTCCAGGGAGACTTCTGCCCGTTCCGTGAGGTGTCTCAGAAACGCACCGTGGTCCGAATGCGTACCCACAAGGTCGAAGGACGCCAGCCGGTCCAGGGCGACTGCGATGTGTGCGCGATTTGGAACCTCGTCGACGGGACAGGCAAAGGCCTTGATGAGCGGGTTGGCGATCTGGGCGATGCTGGCAGGGCTCAGCCGGCGCAGCCGGGCTTGTACCTCGGCGGGATCGACGGCGGGGACGCTGGCGACGGAATCGGCAAATTCCAGAAGATCGAGGGCAAAGTTCGAGGTGCGGCGCGCATTCAACTCTCTGAGGCTGCAGAGCTTGAACGCAAGTGTTTCGAAGGGATGACGAATAATGGCGGCTCGAACAAAATCGTTTGCCTGAAAGACGTTCTCGTAACGCGCAATCGGAAGTTGTCCGCTGGCCAGTATCGACCGTGAAAACCGGTTGTTCAGGATGGAGAACAGGGTATCGAAGGCGTAGTGTTCGTCCGTCACGTAGGTCAAGGCGAAGTGAGGGGCCAGGCAGCCATACAAGGAACAAGAATTTTCGGTATTCACCGTCGTATCGAAGACAAACAGCTTGAGTGGCTTCGAATTGCTGCACCGCCGATAGATCAGAACGCCTGAGTCAGCTTCTCGCACGGACACTTCCGAAAACGAGGCCAAGCCCGGGGTATTCGCTTCGTCTATTCCGAAGCCGGTATTGCCTGTAGAATGCAGCCCCAAAGCTTGGATGTCGGGACGCGGAAGATCGGCGTTGAGTTCGAAGTCGGGTCGGCCCGGTACGGAAACGCGAACGCGGGGAGTGGTACTGGGATTGTCCGGAGCGATCCAGCCTGAAATGATTGCACCGCTGTCTTGGTCAATGTGGAATTGCATAGGTTGGCCACTCGCCTCGATCCGTCCGGCTTGTCCGATGTCAGCTCTTCCAGGGAGCCTCTACATGAGGCGGAAGGGCAGTTTCGGCAACTGGGCTTGAGTGGACGCCTCCTTGGCTGACTCCGATTGAGGGTGTTTTGGAACAGAAAGAGAATGTCCCGCGGCAGGCTCAATTGGCCGACGAGCTGGAGCATTTGCCGAATCAGGGTGGTCAGGTCGAGGCCGTGGCTGTTTCGAAGGCGCTCCGGCTCATGGCGCGCAAGGCAAGCCGCCTTGGAGCCCGGCGTCGTTTTTCGGAACATCGAAGGATTTCGATGTTCGCGATTGTCGGTCTCGTCTCGTTCCTGCTCTGCGTCCTGCTGCCGACAGCGTTCAGCGCGGTATATTTCGGCCTGCTGGCGTCGCCGCAGTACGTCTCGCAGGTCGCCTTTGCCGTGCGCGGACCAACGGCAACGAACGACCTTCTCGGCGGGCTGAGCAGTATGGTCAATCCTGAGCGCAACCAGGACGCCCTTATCGTTGCGGACTATATTCGGAGCCAGCAGCTGGTGGAGGACCTCGAAGGCGATATCGGCCTGAAGCGACGCTTCACCCCGACCGGCCTCGACTATTTCGCGCGGCTGAAGCCGACCGCCTCCATCGAGGATATCGTCCTCTACTGGCAATCCCGCGTCGAAACCAAGATCGACAAGAATTCGAGCGTCGTCACCGTGATGGTGAAGGCTTTCACGCCCGAGGATGCCCTCGACATCGCGCAGGCGATCAGGTCGCGCAGCGAGCGCCTGGTCAACGAGTTGTCCGAGAGGGCGAGGCAGGACACGGTCCGG